GGATAATACAGAACTGAACTCTAGTGTTAATGACAGTGTAAACTACACCATTGATTATTGCTATAGCTTGTCATATGTGCCAACAAATTATAGTGATGCTATGTCATCCCCAGAAAGTAAAGAATGGGAAAAGGCTATGAAAGATGAGTACGATTCTTTGTTGGAGAATGATACATTTGTGTTGACAGATAAACCTGCTGATAGGGCCTTAGTAGGTGGTAGGTGGGTTTATGCCATTAAACTAGACTCAAACGGGGAGCAAAAGTACAAAGCTAGATTTGTAGCAAAGGGCTATTCACAAGTGCAAAATGTGGATTACAAAGAGACTTTTTCCCCCACTGCAAATGTTACCTCCATTCGAATGCTTGCTCAGGTTGCTGCGCAAGAAAATCTAATTGTCCATCAGATGGATGTGAAAACCGCATATCTAAACGCCCCCATTGATTGTGAACTTTACCTAGAACAGCCAGAAGGTTTTGAAAAGTGTAATGATAGAGGTGAAAAGTTTGTTTGTAAACTGCAAAAGTCATTATATGGACTTACGCAAAGCGGTAGGAACTGGAATTCTGTAATTCATAGTTACTTATCTCAAAACAGTTTTACACAGTCAAAGTCGGACCCATGTGTGTATGTCAAATCAAATGATAATGAAAAGTGTATCTTGGTTATCTGGGTCGACGATATCATTATCGCAGCAAGTAATGATCAGTTGTTGAATGATGTAAAACAGCTATTGCACAATAAGTTCAAAATGAAAGATATGGGTGTCTTAACATGGTTTCTAGCAATTGAATTCAAGTGTGCCGAAGGTAGTATTGAAATGTGTCAAAGTAAATACATTGAAAAGATACTGAAGAAGTTTAACATGTCTAACTGTAAAGCCAAGTCAATACCTTGTGAAATTGGTATGAATAAGCATGTTGAAAATGACGAAGTTTTGACAATGTGTCTCTCTATAGAGAAATTATAGGTAGTTTAATCTATCTTATGGTTTGTACAAGACCTGATCTATGCTTTGTCGTAACCAAGCTATCGCAACACCTGTCTAAGCCCATGAAATCTCACTTTAACATTGCCAAACAAACACTTCGTTACCTTAAAGGTACTCAGTACAGGGCATTAAAGTTTGTCAAAACTGACAATTTGGACCTCGTCGGATATAGTGATTCTGACTGGGGAATTGCTCAAGACAGGCGTAGCATTAGTGGTTACGGATTCAAGCTGAATCATCAGTCTTCACTTATCTCATGGAAGAGTAAAAAGCAACCAGTTGTGGCACTATCAACATGTGAAGCAGAATATATCGCTTTGTGTCTAGCCTCACAGGAGGCCTTATTTCTCAAACAACTGTTTTCTGATATGATGTGTTTTCAAACAAAGTCTGTAAAAGTCTATGTTGATAACCAGAGTGCCATTTGTCTTGCCAAAAATAATGTGAGTAACCAACGTTCAAAGCATATTGACATAAAGTTCCACTTCGTAAGATCAGAAGTTGAAATAGGAAATATCGTTGTGGAATATATTCCAACAGAAATTAATACAGCTGATGTATTCACTAAACCTTTCAGTAGAAACAGAATTGACAAACTCTTACTGTGTTGAGAGTCAATGTCATATTTATTTATTAATTTTATTTTTGCTTTTTTTTTTTGTATTAAGATTTTTTTTTTTAATTATTTCTTTACAGTATTTGTTCTAAACATAAAACAGCTTTGCTATGTAATCTATTTTAGTGATGAAGTGTGAAAATTGTTCAAAAGTTTTTCCACTGCAATGTATGTAAAGTTTAAGAGGGAGTGTTAAATTATAAACTTCACCATCACGTAGCGACCTCTATAGTTAATAATATCGCATGTTCCAATGTGTCATACATTGCCGCCACCAAGAGTTTGTAAATAGGTCAGCTTATGTCATTTCCGTTTTTTTCTTGACACTTTATAATAAACAGTTGAAGCAGTTACATGTGTTGTTATTTTATCTTGTTAAATCTTGACTAAAAGCTCATCCACCATTACTCCAAATAGTAAATATGAGTGCAACAGACCGTAGGTCTACAGAAATTAGTAGAAATTTGTGAGCATTATTTGAACAAAATCTATTTCCCCATCCAAGATCGGTAATGTCATGGGCAATATTAAGCTGCTGATAGTGAACTTCATGATTCCTGGATATCAGACACCAGTATTATAGAGCTCTTTGTGTAAGGGATAATACTCAGTGACGTAGCTACGGGCAGTGCAAAGCACTGGGGCCCCGGGCTATTAGGAGCCATTCACAATAATTAAAAATAATTTCCAACTTAATTTTGAAGGAAAAAACGGCCAGCAGGGTTGATTTCAATTCAGTGGTGTATTCAAGGGGCTCAGTCAGACCGATCACCTAATTTTTTTAAACTATTAAAAAAATATGGGGAAAAAAGAAATTATATTCATCATAATATGTCTGAGAGTGCCATTTCCGGCCATCTAGAGGTGTTATAATCACAAAAGTTCTTACTCCAGCCCCAACTATGGTGGGGCAGGTCTTCATCCCCCGCCAGTGAACATCCCTCCCTGGCCCACTATATTTCGAATTCCCTGATCCGCCACTGCAATTATTGAATTTTACGTGCAACCAATTAGTTTAGAACAGCTGCTGAGACTTAATATGCCCCTCATACAAATCTGATATCATTAGTAATTATTCATAAACTAGGCCATTATGAGCAGGGGTAAAGAAGCAACTGTTACGATGTAGGGCAAGGCAATTAATCTTGCCGCACTGGGGCCCTTTCGCACCTAGCTACGCCGCTGAATAATACTTTAGCTAAACGCTTCAATAAATGTTGTCATGTGGTTAAGTGTAACTTATTTTAATAATTTTGTACTACTATGTACTGTAGCACATTATGATGTAACTATACTGTTAAAACGATAAAATATCTTGAGATTTGCTATATAAGAACTCATTAAGAATGGTGAAACACATGCCCAGATACTGCTTTTACGTTTGCATCTCGGAGAATTCCTTCTTTTTACGCGGAATATATCCGAAAAAGTGTACATAGATTTATGCGTAGGGTTGAAAACTTGCAAAATGATCTTGTGAGGTGTATTGCTATTCTAACCTTTTTGCCAAATGGCAATGGTTAATTGAGTTATTGTGAAGTGTGCCTCACTTCTCACGTTTATCATTGTTTACTGCTTTTCATTCCTTCAAATCTGTTTATATTATTATGGATTCGATTCTGAAATAAAGTCAATCAATCAATCAATATTTCAAGATTAGGCATAGGAATGTGAAGATCACCTTTATTTTCCTTCTAGTCATACAGCCATTGGCAACAATCTTTTTAATGTACTGACAAAGAGTTCATGGAGCAAGATTGTGAAGAACTTTATAGGTTAGACAGTAGAGTTGAAATTGAAATCACAATTCTATGTTGTGAGCTGAATTTGGATGAAATAAAAAAAGCTGTGTATTTAAGTAATGTATGAATATATATATATATATATACAAGCAGAACAACATCATTCAATCCCAACAAAGTTAATTTGAATAAGCAAAACAAAAAAAGGCATATTAGTTACATAAAAAAATACTTATTCACGTCTATAATACCTACCAGGTATCTTGCATAATGTTTATATGATTTTAAACATCAAATACAAACTTTGGAATTATGAATGTAACACAAATATCATCATGCTAATAGGTCTACGTAAATCTAATACAAAATAAATTTGTATAACACAATCATAAAAAATATTTTGTGCCTATATTTCTTGTATCTCAACTTGTATGAAGCATGTTGATATCGACACCAATTTATTAAGTTAGTTGTTTTAAGGATTGCATTTTGATGAACTTCCAATGCACGCTTCCTCGTCACTATTGTCACCACAATTGTCAATCCTGTTGCAGGTAAACATACACTGAACACATTTGTTGTTTGCACATCGGAAACCGTTGCAGCTATCTAATATAAAATATGGAATACACAAACACAATATTATAATTACATTCAATTCATTAAAAAAAAATGAACACACATATAAACATAATAAAACTATTATATTATTACCAGGAGATATATTATGTCATGCAAGTTTTTGTGTGTGGGTATGTGTGTGTGTGTGTGTGGGTGTGGATGTGTGTGTGTGAGCGAGCAAAGTGAGGTGGAAGTAAATTAGGAGATATGCTCTCTACTGAGCGCTCTTGTTTATTATTATTTCACTTTATTTAAAAAAATTCATATTAAAAACATGTTACAGTTCGTGGAAAAGGGCTAAATCCTTTGCAACTTTTAGAAAATCCAATTCATTAATATGTAAAAACATAATATTTAAAAAATCAATTAAAGGGTAAATATAGTATATATTAAAAAAAAAAGAAAAAAAAAAAAGTGGAAGTGAAGCAACTTCATTCTCCTAAGAGAGGGGAGTAGCCAGTGCCTTAAACACCAGCGAGACAGATGGGTTGTGGGGGGAATTATGAGAGAATATCATTACTAAATACAGTAATTTGCTCCATTGTATTAATTTTGACAATACAGTTATAATTATTGCATACCTTTATCTTCACAATTTTTTCCCTCAAGTCCTGTTGGGCAATGACAGTAGTAATCTGAGAAATCCTCTGTTACCTTAGAGAAACATGTTCCACCATTAACACATGGATTACTCTCACAAGGGTTGAAAATGTCCTCATCTGGAAAAAAAAAGTTAGTTCTATGTTACAAAATTATGTGTTATGCTGTCATTGAGCATCCATCTGTTATTTAATTTAATTTCAAGGTAAAAATAGGTATATTATATAATAGTACAAATATAAACAAAAATACAGTGAAGATAGAATACATTGAGTAGTGCCAGAATTACCAGGGTGGCTTCGATTCACAATGTATCCTTATAAAACAAATCTAATCTCATCTTAATAAAAAGAAAATAATAATAATAAAGGCAAAAATTAATGATGTAAAAACTATACAATCAGTCCTATCTATAGTAATAGAATAGGATTTTCAAAACCAGTCAAAATGGTTGAACAAGGATTATTTAAGAGTTTGTTCTAGCAAATTCTGTCTATAGCATAAACTGAATTTAATATTATAAGTACACTTACAGTGCACATAGCATATTCGTCTCTGATCCATAATTGTGTAAGTTTATGTTAAATTTTTTTTTTTTCAGAATAAGCTTGAATAAATCATCATGTATCCTTGACCCAATGTCTACCAAACTTGTTCTTGATGGCTTAGATGTTCTCTTACCAGTTATTACAATATTATGATTTTGTTTCATAAACCCATTGTTTTTAATGATCTCTGTTATTTGACTGCAAATGGAAGAAAATAAATGTATTTTTGAATCGAATTGAATTATCAATTTATCTCAGTACATGTCAGTTTTTTGCCCTTTAGATATGGGCAGCCATTAGGGTCAAAGTAGAAAACTCAGCAAACAAAGGATAAACTCAACATAAAAATGACAAACTCAAAAAACAAAGGAGAAACTCAACAAACAAAAGACAAACTCAATAAACAAAAGACAAACTCAATAAACAAAAGACAATCTCAACGAACAAAGTATAATGTCAACAAATAAAAGACAAACTCAATAATCAAAAGACAAACTAAAAAAAAAAATAATTTTTCCCATCCAACAAACTACAACCAAACATTAGCAGGCATCACCAGCAAGCAAAGACCAATTTCCCATTTAAATATTCTTGTCCAAAACAAATTACTACTGATCATCATTCAAATTTCACAGCCAGCACTGGCGAGCCAAGTACAATTTGCAATGCCATTAGGAAAATCCCGCCAACAAACTAAAAAAAAAAGGCCATCAACGAAATCGGCCAACAAAGAACAAACTCACAAAAACACTAACTATTTTTGAACGTTGGAGGCAGCAACATTAGAACATTGCATTATTAATTCGAATCGCATTATCTTACTCGAAACCATGGTATGGAAGTGATTCTTACCACCATACTCGTAACGATCATTAATTAGCAAGTTTAATCATGATGTGCACATCATATTTGCAATAGGCATATCTTCCTGGTCAATGAATTTGGTTGCAGTATTATATTATTATCCACTTTTCTAGTTAAACCATGGTTATACCCAGCATACAATGTTACTTATGTATTATAATGTATTATTATACTTAATAATAATTATAATAATGTATTATTATACTTTAGTTCATTCCGATAACAGCTTCATTTTATACTGTATTAGGGAAAAGTGCATTTATTATTTAATTTATATAATTTAGATTCATTAATTCATTCAGGTTTATTATCAGGTTTATATATGTAAAAACATTTAAACTATCATAAAAGAGGTCAAAATCACAAGTAACAAGCAGACTATTAAATTCATTGGGTAACCCATGGACCTGGTCCATGGGTAACCTAAAAAAAAATGCCCCGTTTTGTGCAATCAACACGACCGCATGGAACGTGGAGCAAAAACTTACTGCGAGTACGAGTAAGAACATTTAGATTAAACAAAGAAGCAAGAGGACAATCAAAATCAGAATTCAAAGACTTATACAAAAATACCATGTCAAAAACAATTCCACGGTTTTCAAGAGAAACAAGTGAGACAT